CCGTGGGCAAAGTCCGACAAAGTTGCCGCGATTAAAACTCTAAAACCCCTCCGATGAGTCCCTTCCCAATTTTCGTTTCACATGATTTTTTTATCACTGTATTCATCGTCTTTTTCTGTGCAGGATAGCCAAAGAAAGAACCTCAGCCGCGAAGGAGGACCAGTGGAGCCACTGCACCTGGAGGTCCCCTTGCCAGTAGGTTCAGTTTTTTTTTATTTCTTAGCCAACCGAGGCCCCTAACGTGTTTTTCTATAGGGATACAACAAAAACCGGCCAAGCTGAGGTGAACTGCCGCCGTGGCCGGTGGCAGAGCACTGCGGCGCTATCGTGCCAAAATCCCAAAATTGGTCAGAATGAGTTTTAGACACCAATTTTGGATTTTATGGGTATTTTTAGTATATGACGAATGTTTTGAATTTTTATAGAAAAATTTAGAAAATCTGGTACATGTTAAGAGGTGTAGTAGACAACGCGATGTCTCAGAATATCGATCTGAGTAACGATCCATCACTCTACTCTTCGTTACGGTAATTTAAGACTCAACAATATATAATTTTGTGTTCTTGTAAAAAATTTAAAAATAATTACAGGTTACTAGTAGAGTTAGAACCGGTTAGTTCACAATTATCTTGATCTCCTGTTTAATTTATTGTACTGTCCTACTTGCTTGATTTTCATATACTACATATTCTTAATTTATAGTTCAATAGTCTTATTAACTTATCTTGTTATTTTGGTTATATACCATCAGTATGAATGTAGTTTAATTGATATATGAATATGATATGAGATATTGGTATGAGTTTGTTGGTTGTTTGTTGATGAAAATCTATATGTAAAAGACTTGTTGGTTACCTAGAGAAATGGCAGACAGGCCGAGTAGATAGAAAACTCTACCGTGAACGTTATCTCAGTAGGACGGGATTAGGAAGTCCCTTACCGAGAAAGTTTGAGAGATGTGGTTTATCCTCATACTGGACGGGGTATCGATGTGATGGAATGTTTGGCGCCCATTATTGGACGGAGTATAGGGATGGCCGGTCAATTTTAAAACTAGATATTGGGTTCATGAGTAAAGGGAACACCCATTTGGACCCCTAGGAGTACCAGTAAGCAGGTAAGAAAGGAAAGTTATTATTTCTTATTCTCCTATGCGTGAAAGTGAAAAGTGATATGGATATGAGTCTTCATAAGTTGTCTTTAGAAAACTCGTTATGGTAGGTATTAAACAAATGTATTCAAGTTTTAAATATATTTAAATAAAGTAAGGGCTTTATTAGTTTTTTTTTATTTTTTTATCAATCTTCAGTTTTTCATATCTATGATTAGTATGATATTCTTATTACACTAGTATAGTTCACCATTTTATTAACTATTTCAGATCAAGTAGACAAAGATTCAGATTCTGATCAATAAGAAGGTTGTGAGTAGTTCACTATCTGAACTCTCTTCAAGTGTTAGTGAAGGTTATCCTAGGATGTTTAGTTATTTGTTTTTTATTTGATTTATTTAGTTTATGTTTGTCTTTAGAATGGACATTCTCGTAACCCTATTGGACATTCAAAATTATTGTGTAAGAAATGAAAATTTTAACTCTATTTATCGTTTTCGCATTTAATTTATGAATTTATTTCCCTTTAAATTCCGAGTCTCTACACCCAATCATATACATATATATCTCATATTCATATATTTTCTTTTTTTTAATTATTATTATTTAATAAAATAATTTTATAAATTAATTTAATTTCAAATTAAATTTTATAATAATCTCAATTATTATAATAGCCGCATATATTATATTATTACACTAATAATATAATAGCAAAAAATATAAATATTAATTTTCTATTTCAAAAAAAAAAAAAAAAATTAAGTTTGTCTCCAATATTAATTATATCATCGGTACCAGCAAAGAATATAATAATATTTTATTTAGACCAAAAATTTTATTTATTTGATTAAATTACATTCTCTAATTTAATTATCAAATAATTAAAATAATTAATCAATTTAGCAAAAGTCATAACATTTCTTAGTATGCGACCCATAGGTTCAATATTAAACTGATAGCAAATTGGTCAAACCAATGAACTAATTAAAGTTGACGTTCAGCAACACGTTTCAATGACCTGATAATAGAAAATGTACAATTACTCTTAAGAATCTGGTAAAGAAAGATGTGATATTTCCTTATATCATTATTGCTCAAGGTTACCCCTAAGATATGGTTTTGACTATCAAATTTCAATAGGTAACCAATTATATTTCATATCAATTATAATTGACTAATGAATGATATAAGAAACTCTTTTCTTTTTTCATTCAACTCTCTTGACCAAGATCTTAATTTAGTCGTTATAATAAATAACAACATAGAGTTTAAACTTATTAACAAAATTGACAGATTATGTCTTGATCAATCATTAATTGTGCAAGTATTTAATCACACCTAATATCCTTTCAACTAGAGTTATATGACTATAGTGTCTAGAATCAAAGTATAATAAATGACTTGTCAATTAATATGATGATATTAGATCTAATGAAATTCTTACGTCTCATTAAAATAAGAAAATACTCTATTAACTGTTTAAAGTAATATTTATCATTAAAAATTCTCAATTGGGTCGGTTCAATCATCATATCTATATATGTAATTTAATTAATGAGATTAACTAATTTTTATCATATAAGAACTATCACATATATATTAGTCTTACCGAATCATTAATGTCCTATTTTGATGATATAACGATTAAGAACATTTTAAATTAAATTATAAAAAATTTTACTCTCATTATTAAGATCTACATCTTTATGTAAAATTTATAAATTTAATCAAGAACTTTATCATATAAATTAAATAATAAATATGATAATAAAAATTTTATTATTATATTTTAAAATAAATTATCAAATAATAATATATTTAATATATTACACGAATAATTAAAGTTTGAAGAAAGATGAAAATGGAAAAGGGAATACAGAGGATGCTTTGTGTATTCAACAATTACTTAAAAAAAAAATTAAGGGCAAATTTGGTGATGTGGTTATCCGAATTCTATTTTAATATAAATATTCATATTCAACTTTTTCCTATAGCAATATTCATATATACATTCTGATTTAAAAAAAAAAATTAGAAATTTAAATGTTGGAATTTAAAAATAAAATGGGTGAGTGAGTTCCAGGAAATGCTATGCAGCCACTTGTGGTCTAAAGACAAAAAAAAACAAATTGGCAGGGCAGGGTCTTAGTACACCTAATAGCGACGCGCACAAAAGCTAGGCGTGTTACCGCAGGTAGCTTCCTACCCAGATTGTGCCCAATTATTGGTTAGGCCCCACCCTATGGTAATTTATTTATTTTTTAATTTTCTAATAATGTACTTAAGAATTTATTAATTTTGATAAATATTAATTATTATAGTAGCATTTGGAGAGAGAATTAATTTATTAATAAATGAGGAAAGGCTGCAATTAAAATCAATTTTTTGAGATTTAATGCATGAGGATTTGGATTAGGTGAACATTCAATGTTATACAAGAATCTTCAATTGCTTTTAATACCCATTTGTTTAGGGTCTGTTAAATTTTAGCCCAAAAAGTATTTAATTATTGAATATTTAATAAAATTACCCTTAATTGAGCATAATAAAACATTGTTAAAAAATTTTAATAACGTAGAAATTGTCAAAAATCTCTGCGTTTATTCATTATAATTAAAGAGTTACTAACTAAAAATAATTTAAAAAAAAGTTTTGGTAACTTTTTTATTCCAATAATAATTGTGAAAAATATTTGGTCAACTGAATGAGTAACTCCAAGAGAATTGTGATTACGAGACATTCTATAATAAGATGTATTATGATCTTCTTTTTTATTTATTGTCAATTATATAATCAAATATTTCTTATTATATATCAAATCTTCACCAAATATAATATAAAACATACTCTTGCTTCTAATATAATGTTATATTATTTATATATATATATATATAAAAGTAGTATTTATTCTTTCCTTTGTAAATAAATATTCTGCTTCCTTTTAAATCTTAAAATTTTTTTTGTTTCCATAACCCTTTTTTTTTTTGGTTTGTTATCCGACCTTGGCGGGTGATCAAATCTACCACTCACTAGGGTTGGACAATTGATGAAGATAAATATGTTCACCCACACAGTGTGGGAGAATTGATATAATATATAATTTCTTTTAATTAAGAAAACACATATGATATGATATTCGTGCATATAATAATTGAAATTGTTTCATATAATTAAAATTAGATAGAATTAACAATTGAAGATAATCCAACGTATGAAAATTCAAACATGGTCTAACTTAATTAAACAAATGTTAAATCAAACTTCATTGGCAAGTGAGATAGTCCTCGTATTTTATAAAATAAATAAATAAATAGTAACTTTAAAATTTTATTTTAAGAAGGTTATTCAATTCTTAAATTATTTAATAAAAAAAAAAAGATATAAACTTAATATGTACGTACTTTAGTGTTGTGAGATTGAGAATTAAGAATTAGTCTGTTGGTGTTGGTGTTGGTATTTGGTGTTTTATGAGTAGACTTTTAAAGACCCAAGTCATCTTTTTTAAGACCAAGTTTTATTTATTTATGGTTTGAGTGCAGTAGGAAAGGTGCTGGGCCATCCCTCTCTCTCTATCACATATTACGTATATTTGTGATGTGTCTTTTCATGTTTTGAATTTAATGTACCAATACTGTGGTGTTTTAAGTCTCCTCTGGTCTTCTCTATTTCTTTTCTTCTACGTATACGTTTATTACAAGAAGCATGTACAGACCTCCCTCTAAATAAATTATTAATAAAATACAAATGGTGAACGGTTAAAAATATGGTACTGGGAGAAAAGAAGTCAATTTAACTTAATTATATTTACTTTTAAAATTTCTTTCTTTTCAATTTGAATTATATTGTGATGGCAATCAAAATTATATTTGAATTTTGAAACCCAAAAAAAACTAACCGATCACCACTACAATTCAAAATAACATCCTTCAAAACATCCAAAATTTCCTCTCTCTCTCTCATTTACATCTGTAATTAATAATACTTTTTTTTAATTATTATTCACATGATGGAGCAGGCATTAGGGTTCTCATCACTGAACAATTGTGGAGCATGCACCTCACTCGGATGCCCGTACCAGTACCCGCAATGTCCAGCCTGACCAATCATGTACCCATCCATTCTCATCTCTTCCATTTTATTGCCGCCAACCTCTCCTCCTCCGACGCCGTCTCCTCCGCCGCCCTTCTTGTTCTTCCCACCCCCTTCAGTCTCCCCACCACCTCCATTTCCCTTCTTCTTCTCCTTCTCTTTCTCCTTATCTTTCTCCTTCTCTTTCTCTTTCTCTTTCTCCTTCTCCTTCTCCTTCTTCGCTGGCACCACCTCCACGCTTCGCTTCAATTTCTCCTTCAACACCTCCGCAAGAGCCTTCGCGTCCATCGTCCCCTTCACCGTCACAAGTTCCTTCTGCTTGTCTATTGACATTTCCTGAACCCCTTTCGTCTTGCCCACAGCCTTCTGAATCTTTTCAATGCAACCCTGGCAGTGCAAATTCACCTTCAAAACCGCCGTCGTAACCGGAGCCTGTAATGCAATTCCCATTAAAATAACTAAATAGCATTCTACGATTAAAAATTGTATGTGTAAAAAAAAGAGAACGCTACCACGGACTTTTGATTCTGTAAAGTAGATAAATGTTTATTAAGGTGCAAAAAACAAGAAAACTACTTCAATAATCAACATCGCATTTAAAGAGCACCAGGACCCATGTTTTTTTTTTTCAATTAAAAAGTTGAATTACCTCCTTTGGTTTTTTATCTTTGTCTTGTTTCTTATCATCAGATTTCTTGTTCTCTTGCTTGGAGTCTTTACTGTTGTTCTCTTTCTTGGGCAGTGGAGAGATGAGGTCGACCACCTTCTTAGTTTTTTGCTGCAATTTCTCTCGAATCTTTGACGGATCCACAGCTCCAACCACCGTTAGCTTGTTTGCATCAGTCTCTGATCTCACCTTGTCAACACCTGATGCACGAAGAAGAAGAGAAACAAATAGAAGTAAGTTTTGCATTTACCCAAAAAAAAAAAAAACAGAGCATGACAAGAATAAACAGGAGGGCCTAAACGGTATAAATGAGTGAAGGCAGATATTGCTTGAATCTGGGTTTTAAGTTCTTACTCTGTTTCTTACGAGATTTTTTTTGTAAACGAAAATCAATTTATCTTTCCGAAAAAAGAAACCCAGAAAGGACGGTGGAGCAGTGCAAACAAAAATGGAATGGAATCATGAGAGAATAATAAATCTATAACAGAAAGAAGACTCAGAATATCAATGGCCGAGGAATGTGAACATCATGAAAATCCAAAAACAAGCAGAAACATAAATGAGTTCCTTTCAATTTCATTTAAGAATAAATGTCATGAAAAGAGATCAAGCAAGAGCAGTCAGTGAGAACAGGGTAATGTACCTTCAAAGCCGCGAACATATTTGACGATTTTGGAAGCACAGCCTTCACAGTGCATATCAATCTTCAAAACAATAGTAACAGCAGTCTTCTCTTTGTTGTTCTTGGAGTCTTCGTTGCCCTTCTTCTTGCCTTTTTGGTTATTGTTCTCATCGTTCTGCAACAAAGTAGAACAACAAAAACCAACTCATTATCAACCGTCAAAAGAATCAGAAAAAACCCAGAGAAAAAAAAAAAGCACAAATAGAGAGAATGGGAGTGGGGCGAGTTGAGTCAACTCACCTCGCCCATTGTGAGTGATGAGGAGCGGTTTTTTGCTAACGGAGTGCGTGAGTGAGATATGCGAAATAATCGGAGAGAAGAAGGGTAAAAGGCAGGGATATTTATAGGGGACGGAGAAGGTGAGAAGGGAAGTTACTCATAGTAGGTGAATGTGCATTAATGTGATGATGATGGGGTGGTTATGTCATGTATGGTAGTTATGTATGTATGTATGTATGTATGTATGTGATTTGGTTCCATTCTAAAATATATGTAGTTTCCTGTTATGGATGAAACCAGAAAAGGCGAGGGCCAAGGGAGAGCGGTGCGTGTTTGACGCGTACGCGGCAGGGTACGGTAGTGGGGTGCGGGCAGCAGGTACGGAGAAAGAAGCGTGAAATTTGGTGAGAATTTTCCTTTTTCTTCTTCTTTATTTTTTTCCCAAAAGTAATAAAAATTTTAGGTTTGGTTATTAAATAAAATATTATTTGATGTTAAAAAGTAAAGTAGGAATAAATTTAAAAAAAAAATTAAACCTTTGATGATCTATCATTTTCCCAACTCATTTATGATGGTTTTGTTGATGGAATTTAATTTGCATATTCAATTTCAGCAGTAGGTAGAACTTTACTCACGTATCAGAGTCCTCTATTTTTTTAAATTAACTTGGAAATTCATGTTTAGTTTATAAGAAATTATTTGAGTTTTAATTTTTAATTTTTAACTTCCTTACAAAATGTGCTTAAATTGCTGGAGTTTCAAAGTGATCAAGTGGTACAAATTGTAATACCCTAATTTTGTAAGAGTTAATTTTTATTTTTATTTAATTTAAAATTTAGAAGCATTATCATTATTATTATTATTATTATTATTATTATTATTATTATAGGAGAAAAAAAAAGAGAAATAAAAAAATTGTAAAAATAAAAATGGAAAACAAAAAGGAGAAAACTAAACCTCAAATCGCTTCAACAAATCACTTAGTCTTGTTCATTTTAGCCACAAGAGTTTGAGTGAGGCATTACGCACTATTTCAAGAGTCGCTACTTCTAAGCAAATTTTTTCTTTATCTCTGCATCTTTAACTCTTTTATCACTAAGCAGTCATTTACGAGTTTTAATTGGTAACTAAAATTATTTTTCTCTCAACCACGAAGCTTATCTCCCATTGTCTCACTGGCCGGTTGAGATCTTTGTTATTTTGAGGTTATATCTAGTATTGAAAGTTTTTTTCGATTTGGTATTGCTCTCGCAGTCTGCACTTAAATAGTATTTTAATCCTAAATGTCTAATCAATTGTTATGCCAAAGAACTCGCTCATGTTGGGTTGAGCCTTCGACCTTTTTCTTTTTTTCTTCTTTTTCTTTGTTTACTTCATCTCATAAAAAAAAAAGAGGATTCAAAAGCCTAGAAAAAAGTAAAGCTTGAAGCAGGCCAAGCTCGAGCATGAACCCAACCCCGTGGAGATTCTAAATAACATTGTTTTTATGGGATCCAACACCAGTGAAGGACCTCCAAAAATGATGTCGTTTTGAAGGTGTTTTAAAAAAACAATTAAGTTTTGCTTCGATGACCACAACGCCTCCTTTTTCTTCATTCTGGAGGCTTCAACGCATAAAGGAGGTTGAACAATTCCAGAGCCTCCTACCACACGCGTGAAGATTGAAGTAAAATATCAAAAGATGTATGTGACACGCAAATGAGAAAGAATATTTTGAAAGAGTGAAATAGTGTTGAGGACACAAAACCTTTCAAGAAGAGATAGTGGGTTGTGAGAGGGAAGGATATTCACCGCCACTTTTGCGATCTTTGCTATGTGTCCAAAAACCAAAAGCCATTGTGGAGATGATGATTTGGAGGATTTGGTATGCCTGTTTATAATATAATATGACGTATATAGATTTTTAGAGAAGATCTAATTGATAATCATCAAATTTAATTTTTTTAAAAATATATTTTTATAATATTGATTTAGACTCTTATCAATTATTTTCATGATCAATTATCTAGAGGAGAATAAATCCTTGATCACACACCTCTAGACAAGTTTAAGATTCCCATTTCACTTTGACTCTTAAATGCCTCTCTTTTTATATTCATGCTTTTATATATTTTCTTTATTTTGACATATTAAAACACAACTATTAAACATGTGTTTCAACTATCTAATTGTAGATAATGAAAAATTGATGTCACTTTTGGCCTTAACAATTTTATTCTTAAACCACCTTGTGATACAACTAGCATATGATTTAATGCCTTATAAATGATTCTGGTACCAATCATTATATTATAAGAAAAATAAAAAAATAGTGCAAATAGAAGCATTTTTATTATATAATTTATAATTCTATTCCAAACTCATCCTTCATTGTTTAGTTTCATAATTAAAGCATTAATGTTGTTACAACCAAATAAACAAAAAAAAATAAGTTAACTTGTTCCTTAATTACAAATCAACTACAAACATTTTCAACGTCATCTAAAACCATAGTGGAACTCTGTTCCTAATTGCAAAATCTTAGCTGCAAATAAGAGTAAAATCACTTAGTTACAAGTACACAAAATTGTGAAAAAAATAGTGATTATTCAAATGAAGAATGTCCAAGAAGAAACCTTATCTAAGCATTACTACATTTGAAATTGTGAAATTATCTTGTCACGTTGCTTGTATTGCATTAAAGTCATATAACCACTAAAACCTTCCAGTGCATAAATCTTTCTATCGCTTTATCAAAGCATATTTCTACTGTCGACGATATGTCCTGCATCATAAGTGGCATCTTTTGCACTGATGGAACTTTTGGAAAGTAAGCCAATAAGAGATCTCTTGTTGAGGATTTCTTAGCACATCACTGATTCAATGATATAACAAATGTAGAGATGTTTATGCTCTATCATCATTTTCATCCTCCTCTTTTTTTTTTTTTAATATTCTGCTAAAATGGACAATCATTTTTAAGTTGGGGTTGTAATTTTAAAAGTATTAATATAAAACTTAAGTTCATTGCCCTATGTGTAGAGTATAAGTATGAAATCTTCATTAATAAATTTGTCCTATGAGAGATATTAAGAAATATGAAATTTTAATGTTAATATATACAATATCCCAAAAAATTAGATAATCTATATTAGAAGATATACTTCCATATGATTATAGATAATTATGTGGAGAGATATAATATCTTATGTAACGACCCCGGAAATATTAAAATGAAATGAGTATTTAAATATATCAAATGCGGAAGCGAGATCAAAATTTCAGTTAACATCCCTTACACGAAAAACCAGAAACGTACTTAAAATATAAAAGATTAAACTAACTAAGAGAGAAACTCGAAAATAAAACTATGAGTGTGACTACAGAGTCTCTAGGTATCCCCTTCGTCGTCCTCCTGCGGAACGGGCTCGGGAACCATGTCTTCCTGATCTGAAATGGTTAAATAAGGAGTGAGCTACACTAGCCCAGTAAGAACATCACGATATCTCACCGTCACGGAGGTAAAGGTGGGTAGAAAAACACAAAAAGACCAATGGAGCATAATTTACAATAAACTCGTTTATTAACATGAAAACCTTTACCATCCACTTACCTCGGTAGAATTTATGAAAACAATATAAGAGAAATAATAACATTATCACAATCATGGAATAATATAAGCTGTACAACATAGCACTTATCACGCCTTTTGTAATTCAATCATTATACAACATATCCTTTTCTCATTTACCAGCCTACTAGTATCCATGGGGGTCCCTAGGGGTCCCGCTACCCGTTAACCTTTAACATTCATAATCAGTTTTCAGGGCCGTCCCCATACCCCGTCCGGCATGGGCGCCAAAACCATAAACCTCAATACCCCGTCCGGTATGAGGGTGAAACGGGTCGTCCCCATACCCCGTCCGGTATGATAATCTATATTAGAAGATATACTTCCATATGATTATAGATAATTATGTGGAGAGATATAATATCTTATGTAACGACCCCGGAAATATTAAAATGAAATGAGTATTTAAATATATCAAATGCGGAAGCGAGATCAAAATTTCAGTTAACATCCCTTACACGAAAAACCAGAAACGTACTTAAAATATAAAAGATTAAACTAACTAAGAGAGAAACTCGAAAATAAAACTATGAGTATGACTACAGAGTCTCTAGGTATCCCCTTCGTCGTCCTCCTGCGGAACGGGCTCGGGAACCATGTCTTCCTGATCTGAAATGGTTAAATAAGGAGTGAGCTACACTAGCCCAGTAAGAACATCACGATATCTCACCGTCACGGAGGTAAAGGTGGGTAGAAAAACACAAAAAGACCAATGGAGCATAATTTACAATAAACTCGTTTATTAACATGAAAACCTTTACCATCCACTTACCTCGGTAGAATTTATGAAAACAATATAAGAGAAATAATAACATTATCACAATCATGGAATAATATAAGCTGTACAACATAGCACTTATCACGCCTTTTGTAATTCAATCATTATACAACATATCCTTTTCTCATTTACCAGCCTACTAGTATCCATGGGGGTCCCTAGGGGTCCCGCTACCCGTTAACCTTTAACATTCATAATCAGTTTTCAGGGCCGTCCCCATACCCCGTCCGGCATGGGCGCCAAAACCATAAACCTCAATACCCCGTCCGGTATGAGGGTGAAACGGGCCGTCCCCATACCCCGTCCGGTATGGGCACCAAAACCATAAGATCTCCATACCCCGTCCGGCATGTGAGACCACAATCCCGGTAGGGTTCCCTACGGACCCGGTCCGTCCACCATCTCCCAGGATATCTAGTCAGGCTGACCCCATCATACAATTATTAGTCTATACAATGTTTCATTTCCTTTTTTTCCTCAATAAGCATCATCAATTCACATTTGAACAAGCAAATCGTAATTCATGCCGAACAGACAACATACAGTATCAGTTCTTCAGTCATTCAACCCATAATTAATAAAACAGTAATATATGCATTCGAAACTATGAAATGAACACATCAAACCCCATAATGCATTTAAAGCTGTAAAACAGTGTAAAACAGGCCAAATAACAGTAAATCATCAATCACACTAGACTCGGGCTCCATTAGCAACCTTAAGCAATTTCACACATGCGTTAATTCAAGAAATACCGTTTTATCATTTTGAACTTTAATACCGTGATAGGAAATAGGGTGAGGGGTCCTTACTTGTTTTCGGGATCCGAATACGATT